CAAACCAAGTTTGAGCACATCTCCTGATCCATTCTCAGTTTTTGAGTCTTCTCTTGTTATTCCTTTGTTATGAGAAATGTTATGGCTTCGGTAGTTATGTTACAAGGACTAGTTGGTATGCTGTATTGCCCAGGTGAATGGCACTTGGCGAATGACTATGATTCAACTAGGAGTTCACTGAAGTTCTCTTCTTTTACCTAAAGAGAAGAAGGGGCTACATATTAGTACTGGCATTCAATCCTGCTGATACCAGACAGACCTTTGTTATTCCCTCTCCAGTGGTGTGTGGTAGGTGTTTTGGATAGAGACAAGATAGGATAATGTAGCTGATACTTAACTGGTGGCTGATGCATGCAAATTGCAATGATACTCTATTGTTTTATATTATGGAAAATTATGAAATTTATTGGATGAATATGTAATTTTTTTGGTACAAGATCTGAGAGTCTCTTTTAATTTTGGTGTACTATCCAATACTGTTGTATTTGCTTCCCATGAAGGCATTTTCTTGATTGTCATAATTTATTATCGTTTTGGCGTGCTTCTCTTAGTCTTAACTCTAGCTATCTTCATTTTATTGTTATCCATTTTAAATGTTTGAATTGACCTAATGCGTTGTTATTCGTCGGCTTTCTAGGTTATTGATAAAGTTCAAGAGGAGACAAAGAGCCGTGCAGGTATGTACTGCACTTATCTTTTCATTCAGCATGTCCTCTCTCTTAGCTTATGAAACAAATGTTTTTCTTGTAAACTCTTCTTAGCTTTATTTGTGAGTTCAATTAGTGATGTGATTATTAATTTAAATGCTTGAAAGAGATCAATTGGTAGCACGTGAATTCCGGTTTGAAAACTAAGTCGAAAAAGGTACTTTTTTCACACTTAAGCTTGAAAATAGGTCACCGGGGGCCAAAATAGCGTAATAGTCATGAGAAGGACTGAGGAACACCTCAAACACCTCAGGAGAGACGAAGAAAAGGCACTTTCAGTTTGTAGAACGGACCAATGTGAGTTGTGAAAATTTACGAAACTAGCACAGGACTCCCGGTTTGAAAACTAAGTCCAAAAAGGCACTTTTTCACACTTAAGCTTGAAAATAGGCCTTCGGGGGCTAAAATTGTGCAACAGCCATGAGACGGCCCGGGAAACACCTCAAACAGCTCGAGATGGACCAATGTGAGTTGTGTAAATTTACGGAACTAGCACGGGACTCCCGGTTTGAAAACTAAGTCCAAAAATGCACTTTTTTACACTTAAGCTTCAAAAATAGATTTTTGGGGGCCAAAATCGTGCAACAGCCACGAGACGGCCCGGGAAACACCTCAAACACCTTGGGACGGACCAATGTGAGTTGTGGAAACTTACGGAACTAGCACGGGACTCTTGGTTTGAAAACTAATTCCAAAAATGCACTTTTCCACATTTAAGCTTGAAAATAGGCCTTCGGGGGCCAAAATCATGCAACAGCCACAAGACGGCCTGGGAAACACCTTAAAAACCTCAGGATGAACCAATGTGAGTTGTGGAAATTTACAGAACTAGCACGGGACTCCCGGTTTGAAAACTAAGTCCAAAAATGCACTTTTTCACACTTAAGCTTGAAAATAGGCCTTCGGGGGCCAAAATCGTGCAACAGCCACGAGGCGGCCTGGGAAACACCTCACACACCTCGAGATGGACCAATGTAAGTTGTGTAAATTTACAGAACTGGCACGGGACTCTCGATTTGAAAACTAAGTCCAAAAATGTACTTTTTCACACTTAAGCTTCAAAAATAGGCTTTCGGTGGCCAAAATCGTGCAACAGCCACGAGACGGCCCGGGAAGCACCTCAAACACCTCAAGATGGACCAATGTGAGTTGTGGAAACTTACGGAACTAGCACAGGACTCCCGGTTTGAAAACTAAGTCCAAAAATGCACTTTTTCACACTTAAGCTTCAAAAATAGGGTTTCGGGGGCCAAAATCGTGCAACAGCCACGAGACGGCCCGGGAAACACCTTAAACGCCTCGGGATGGACCAATGTGAGTTGTGAAAACTTACGGAACTAGCACAGGACTCCCGATTTGAAAAATAAGTCCAAAAATGCACTTTTCCACACTTAAGCTTGAAAATAGGCCTTCGGGGGCCAAAATCGTGCAACAGCCACGAGACGGCCTGGGAAACACCTCAAACACCTCGGGACGGACTAATGTGAGTTTTGGAAATTTACGGAACTAGCACGGGACTCCCGGTTCGAAAACTAAGTCCAAAAATGCACTTTTTCACACTTCAGCTTGAAAATAGGCCTTCGGGGGCCAAAATCGTGCAACAGGCACGAGACGGCCGGGGAAACACCTCGAGAAGGACCGATGTGAGTTGTGTAAATTTACGGAACTAGCACGGGACTCCCGGTTTGAAAACTAAGTCTGAAAATGCACTTTTTCACACTTAAGCTTGAAAATTGGCCTTCGGGGGCCAAAATCGTGCAACAGCCACGAGACGGCCCGGGAAACACCTCAAACACCTCGGGATGGACCAATGTGAGTTGTGGAAACTTACGGAACTAGTACGGGACTCCCGGTTTGAAAACTAAGTCCAAAAATGCATGTTAAATTGTATATGTTATGGATAAGATAATAATTGTCTAACTGGCATTTTTCCTTTTTTTTTGCGTTTCATTTTTTTGTAGATTCGAGATTTGATATGGACGTGTTTGGTAATTTTGAGGGCAGATAGTAGCTCATTTTTTGTTTTTGTTCATATTACCGTACATGTATTTTGGTTGTGTTGTAAATTTTATATTTTTGTTGGTATTGCGGGGTATGTTTGGTAATTCGCCCTTGATATTTTATTTTTGTTGATATTAGTAGACATGTTTTTTGTTGGATATTAGGAGATGTGTTTGGTAATCTGCATACGGTTGATATTATATTTTTGTGGATATTAGTAGACGTTTTTTGTGGATATTAAGAGACACGTTTATAATCCGCATGCAGTTCATATTGTATTTTTGTGGATAGTGCTAAAACTCGATTGTGATGTTTACGAAAATGAATAGATTTTTGTATTGATTTGCAATAGATATTTTATTGAACAGGTTATTGAAATGCGCATGGAATTGTTACTGAAAAGAAAAAATTTCGGAAGAAAATAGTACCCCCATTTTCAAAATTTTTAATTTTTATTAGTGACGAAATAAAAAATGTCGCTATTAGTTTTTAAAAAACATGACGAATAATTTTGTCACTAATGATATAGTACGAAACAAATAATTTCGTCACATTTGCTGAATATTTCGTCACTAAATTGAAATATTTGGTGACAAAATGTTTTTTGTCATTGAATAATTTTCTTTTTTGCTCATTTTAGTGACGAATTTTTTTGTCACCTTAATCCATATCATTGGTGAGGAAAAATTTTGTCACTAAAATATATTTGGTGACGAAATATTTCATCGTAAAAAACAATTAAAATAAAATATTATTTAGTTTTGGTGACGAAATTGGTGTTTTAGGGGACGAAAAATTCAACATTTGGAGACGAAACATTTCTTCGCCAAAAATGAAAAATAGGTGACGAAACTGTTTTTCGTCACCAGGTACTTTTTGTGACGACGTATAGGCCACGAACGTGGTGACAATTTTTTTTCGTCCCAGATCACTTTAGTGACGAAATTTTGATGTTTGGAGACAAAATCAGTCTGTCACCAAAGGCCTTTTTTGTTGTAGTGTACCCTGAACACCCCCAGGTATGGATTCTATATGGCTTGTTGTGGATAGATTGACTAAGTTTGCTCACTTTTTGCCTGTGAAGACTGTTTATACTGCTGATCGACTTGCTACTGTGTACATTGCTGAGATTATTCGATTGCACAGTGTTCTGGTTTCCATTGTGTCGAATAGAGATTCTAAGTTTGTGTCAAGGTTTTGGCAAAGCTTACAAAAAGCATTTGGGACGGAGTTAAGGTTCAATACCGCATTTCACTCACAAACCGATGGACAATCTGAAAGAACTCATCAAGGATTATGACTTGCAGATTCACTATCATCCCAACAAAGACAACAAGGTAGTGGATGCTCTTAGTAGGAAGTCAACAGGAAATTTAGCATGTTTGCTTACCGAGCGGAATGAATTATTACTTGACTTGGAAAGAATGGGGCTGGAAATTGTGCTACATGAATGAGGTGGAATGGTAGACGCAATGGCAGCACAATCGGCTATTATGAGGAAATTAAACAAAGGCAATTAGAGGATGAATTTCTAAAGAAAATACATGATGAGATAGAAACAAAGCTGAGACCGAGATTTTCTTTGGAAGCTCAACTGTTGAAATTCAAGGGAAGATTGTGTGTCCCTAATGTCCCCGAGATTAAAGGAACAGTCTTGGAAGAAGCTGACAAGTCCATATTTGCTATGCATCCTGGAAATATCAAAATGTACCAAGATCTCAAGCAAGCTTTTCGGTAACCCAATATGAAGAAGAAATTGCGGAGTTCATTTGAAGGTGCCTTCAATGTCAACAAGTGAAAGCAAAGCATCAAACACTGGCGGGGTTACTTCAACCTCTCCCTATTCCAAAATGGAAGTTGGAGCATATAACTATGGATTTTATTGTGGGCTTACCCTGAACACCCCGAGGTATGGATTCTATATGGGTTGTTGTGGATAGATTGACTAAGTCTGCTCACTTTTGCCTGTGAAGACTGTTTGTACTGCTGATTGACTTGTTATAGTGTACATTGCTGAGATTATTTGATTGTACGGTGTTTCGATTTCCATTGTGCCGGATAGAGATTCTAAGTTTGTGTCAAGGTTCTGGCAAAGCTTACAAAAAGCATTGGGGACGGAGTTGAGGTTCAATACTGCATTTCACCCACAAACCCGATGGACAATCTAAAAGAACTATACAGATGTTGGAAGACATGCTCTGGATGTGTGTTTTGGATTTCCGTGAAAGTTGGGAAACTCATTTACCTTTGGTGGAATTTGCTTACAACAATAGTTTCCACTCTAGTATTGGAATGGCACCATATGAAGCTTTGTTTGGGAGAAAATATCGAACTTCAATTTGTTGGATCGAGGTTGGGGATAGGTCGTTTATTGGGCCTGAAATTGTGCAAGTTACTACGAAAAAGATTCAGATCATCCAACAGAAATTTAAAACTGCTCAAAGTCGACAAAAGAGCTATGCGGATCAAAGAACAAGAGACTTAGAATTTGAAGTTGGGGATCATGTTTTTGTCAAAATCACTCCAATGAAAGGGAACACAAGGTTTGGGAAGAAAGGGAAAGTATCACCCTGGTACATAGGGCTATTTTAGATTTTGGAAAGATTGGGTCCGGTTGCCTATCGGATTGCTTTACCACCGTGCATGGAGCATGTGCACAACGTGTTGCACATATCAATGTTGTGAAGCTACCTTCGGGACCCTTCCCATGTTATTGATTATCATCAAATTGTGCTAGATGACAATGTGGTTTATGAGGAGAAACTCCTTCGAATCATTGATCGGCAAGTCCAAGAACTAAAGAACAAGACTATCCCAATGGTAAAAGTGGAACGGAGGGAACATCATGAAGCGAAGCCACTTGGGAACAAGAAGAAAAAATGAGACAACGATATCCGGAATTGTTTTCAACTTGAGGTAAAACAAGTTTGGAGGAGCAAACTTCCTAAAGGGGGGGGAAGACTGTGATTATCCAACCTGTACTATGCTTAATTACGCATGTGATTATGTGTTTGATATTAATTTGCAAGTTTAAGTATGGGAATTATGTGAATTTGGGAAAATATCTGTTGAAAGTAGGAAAATCTGTTGCAATTGAAACGTTGAACTGAAATTGAAGGCCTTAGAGGCGTGATAAACAAAATCCGACCTCATATCTACGATTAGCACGATTTATAGAGCTTATGGTGAAATTTTGAAAAATTACGATTCGTAATGAAAAAATTAAGATTGTGAGTTGAGTTGTATATGTTTAACCCTCTTTTGTTCTTCATTGTTGCTTGAGAGATCTAGAAAGTAAGTTAGAGAGAGAGAGAAAGAGAGAAAGCTAGGGATTTTGAAAAGAAACAAGAGGCAAACCTTATATTGGAGTTAATGTATGTTAATTTACTTACAATCTTTGTCTTTAGCTCATCTTTGTCATGGAATCAAGAAGAAATGGTGAACTTTGGGCTGGGGTTTTAAGTTATGTTATGGTTAGAGCTAAGTGTATGAAATTGAACCCTAATCTCTTCATCTTTGTTTGTTTTGAGTTCATTCTTGTGCTTGAGCCAAGGAATAACCCCAAATATTTCATGAAAACAAGATTTGTTAGATCATTCATGGACATTTGCATTTTAAACTTGTTATGTAATGTATGAACATGAGAAAGAGATGAAACCATGAATCTAAAATAGAAGCAAGATTAATAGTTTTAATATGGAATTACCCTTGAATCATGGTAGTATATCATGTTTTTGAGTTGTTTTTTTTATGAATTTGGGCTTGGAAATGAGGTGGGAGAGTTGGTATCTTTATGTCATTTTCGGACTATTTGGGTGTGCCCAGACCGCTCGTGCAACCACGGGCTCTACACGGGCGGCCAATGCCTTGAACCAAAAGTGGGTTGCACTGTGCGCTCGAGCGACTCGGGCTTCCATGTGAGTGAAGCCAAACCGCTTGAGCGGTTGGACCAGCCGCACATACAGCCAAAAAGGGAAAAATCGGTGTTGTTTAGTGTTGCTACTCCCGGCCTTCGAAACACATTCCCAACCTTATTTAAACCCTTTTGGAAGTGAAATGATGATTAGAAACTCATTAAGGAAGGTTGTGAATTATAAAAGATAAGTGTACAAATTGAAGCACGTGATTTATCGAATGTGTGTGTGAAATGTTTATGTGGGTCATGGGGCAAAGGAGACATCGCGAGATCAAACACACTGTGAGCAATAATATTGTATGAATGTGCTCTTTATTATGTATCTCGAACCATGAATGGTGAATGATGCCGACATTGTGAATTGATTGAAATGAAGAAACTTCATTAATATTATCTGACATGTGTTATATGATTGGACCCGAGGCCGCTTGTTATATGATTAGGCCTGAGGTCGCTTGTTATATGATTGGGCCCGAGGCCGCTTGTTATATGATTGGGCCTAAGGCCGCTTGCCGCTTGATATATGATTTGGCCCGAGGCCGCTTGTTATATGCTTGGGCCTAAGGCCGCTTGGTTTATATGATTATAGATATTGTGAAAACATCATGATCATCTACTTATACTGCTTTACTATATTATTACTTATTGAGCTTCGCTCACCCGATATTATGTATGTACATGTAGGTGATTAGCAGCATAGAGAATATCTCTAGAGTCAGCTTCAGGAACTATTTTGTGACCCAATCGAGTTATGCCTTTGAGACGGAGATTTGTTTTGACTCACATCACACCTTGATCTTATTATGTTTTTGCTATTATGGTCTTGGATTTGTAAACAATCTGTACAAATTTCCTTTGGCTCTTATATTTTTGTTAGGCATGTAAATATATTAATGTGTTATGTTTTTAACTCTATAATTTTGTTCATGATTGGCACAACTCAATGGACTTCTCTTTATTATATGCTTTCATTTATGGCCCCATTAGTATAAATATTTTCTACATTCGTTTGAGGCCTTCGGTAATCTACGGATTACTGGCCGATTATGATCCAAACTTTTAGGGACGAGTTCGAGTCATGACACCGCCGCTACAATATGTTGCCAAAACACTAACTCAAATCCAATCACACCATCCACTTGGTATTCAACCAATTACCTCACCCAACTTATAGGAAACAACCACGCCTATTCCAACCAATCATACATCCTCTATAATGAAAAACTCGTGGCTTAAATGGCCCAGCTAACTTCACCAACCCTGAGGGAAGTCATACCACAACACTACATCCCAACTAACCACACCTCACAACATAGATTTCTAAGTTACCAACACCTTAGTCGGAACTATACACCACCAATGCTAGCACATACAAGTTCAAACCTAACTCTTCGTGTTCCAGAGATTCTGACACCACCTACATCACACATTTGATTTAGTCTTTCTATCAAAGGGTTTGTTTATTTTGTTTTATTTAATCTTTAAACTTTAAGTTTAGTTTCAATTTGATCATTTCATTTAAATTTTTGTTAATTTTGTTTATTTGTACACTTTAAAAAATCGATAAGTTTCCAAAATTTGTTAATTTTAACCTCAAATTTAGATAAAATGACCAAATTAAAACTAGACTTAAAGTAACAACTGTCTAAAAATTGTTAATTTTAACCTTAAATTGAAACTAAACTTAAAGTATAGAAACTAAATTATTTAAATTGAAATTTGAATTGAACTATAGGGGTGAAAAGTTTAATTAACCCAATTTTCAAATATAATGCACATAAGCATGACTTTAATTATATAAACCAAGACCTTATATGATTGTATAGCACCCTTTTTTAGTGTAAAATTGTGGGTTTAACTCATATAGATACATGTGGGGATATATTTTCTAAGTATCAATACGTGGCCAAGGTGACGCCGATGTGTCAGTCGAGGTGCCACGTGTCCTGGTCGTGACGCCGAGGTTATCTCGGCTAGGCCGAGGTCATCTCCGAAGATATCGGAATCCGGGATAAGCGGATAAGGACAAGAGTCCTAGAATGAGAGAGGACCCCAACCTGGATAAGGATAAAGCTCTCAGGGAGTTTATCTTTATCTATTGAAGAGTCCAAGATTAGCAGTAATCCTAAGTCCCTTGAAGCTAGGCTTCTATGGGGACTAGGATTGAATTTGCTATAAAAGAAAGGCACCCTCAATGGGTCTAAGGTACGCAATTTATACTCAGAACAGTGAGTTGAGCACTATTGATTATCTTTGAGATATTTGATTACTAACTTAATCATCGGAGTGCCCCTGGGTGGACGAACCACCGCCGGAATCTCTTCTTTCTATTGCAGGTCATTCAGGTGCCGTCTATTCCACCAGTGCTCTCCAGTTGAATATTGAGTTGGCAGTGTGGTCAGAAAATCACTCACACAATTTGCCGCCGTTTGTGGGAAAGAAACGAGAATAGATGGCCAACGATAGACAGAAAGAGAAGGTTGGGGACGACACTCCTACTGGGAGTGGGAGACCTATTGACCTTGACGTCGAAGGAGACAATTGTAACGAAGAAACTCGTGACTAGAATCACGGAGTAAAGGACGTCGGCCAGGAAGGCGGCGTACCAAAGAAAATAGACCAAAGTGGGTACTACAACGAAGACAACCTCCAGGTATGGAAAGAAAGATGCCTGTGGAGGGACGATGAGGTAAAGACCATGGTGAACAAATTGGCGGACTTGCAAACAATGGTCAATTTCATGATATAGAATAACGTCATGCAGCCACCGTTCCCATTGCAGGACACGCCGATCCCAGCGGCCAATGCCCAGAAGAAAGGGCAGAATACAATCCCTATAGCCCTCCAACACGCCAGGAGCAAAAAACACTCTCACCGGCCATCAAGGGAGGTCGGGCGAGGAGAGTCGAGAAGGGAAAAATCTCGAAGGACACATCACACCAAGGAGGCAGACCCCAGAGAACATCGGCATGTTCAAAGACAGGAGCTGTGCTTCGATGCGACTAATGGAGAAAGGTCGAAAAAAGCTCACAACGAAGCCGAGAGCAGTGCACCTAAAAGGCTGAAGTCAGGAGATAGCCGAGCTCCCGGACGGACCAAAGAGGACTTGAGAGATTACCTCAAGAGGAAGCAAGATCATGCCGAGGTAACTTCAACAGTTAAACCGAGAACACCATTCTCGGTGGAGTTAGACAAATTTGAGGCCCCGAAAAGAATCAGTATGCCGAGGTTCCAGATATATGATGGGGAGTCAGACCCCAACTTTCACATCGGATTATACCTGAACTCGATGGCACTATACACTGGGAACGAGCCGTTGCTCTGCAAGGTGTTCCCCTCATCCTTCGGGGAGATTGCATCGGATTGGTTTCACAAATTACCGAAGGGAAGTGTGAAAACCTGGGAAGGCCTGGCTGAGATGTTTGTGGCCAGGTTCGTGACAAACAAACTATAGCCCTTGAGGGTAGACGCCCTAATGGCTCTGAAGATTGGCGAGGACGAAAGCCTGAGGGCCTACGCCAAGAGATATTATGAGGTGTTCAACCAAATACCAGAATGCAACCAAGAAGTTGCCGTCGTGTCATTTAAAAACGGCCTGAAAGATAGCTGCCTACTCCGAAAATCGCTGGCAAAGACATTGCCAAAAAGCATGGAGGAGCTCATGGCCAGAATCGAGAAATATGCCAAAGCCGAGTAGGACGTGCTAGGAACCACGGTGATAAAGCAAGAAAACGGAAATGACTCGCCAAAGTGAGGCTGAGGTAACAACGGATCCAACAACCAGAAGATAGGACTAAGGGCTGCACAGGTAGTCACAACTGTGTTCTGAATCCCCATTCACAAAGTCCTGGATAAAATCCAAACCCAACCCTATTTCAGAGCACCAGCAAGCGTACTAGGAGAGTTTATGGGACGAAGCATTGGCAAGCATTGTGCTTACCATAACGAAGATGGGCATATGACCCAG